TTTTTTTTTTTTTTTTTTACTATTTTTTTTTCTTTTTCCTTCTAGTCTGATGTGGATTGGGTAAATGTGGATTATATATTTGTAGCTCTCACAAAATGCAGTCCTAGGTAGCCCCCTCCCCTCAATATAGATGCTGATGGTATATTCATTTGGCTTAATCTTATTTCCCCTCCCTATCACACCACTGGAGCCCCAGATGGGCATGTCTTTCCTGCTCCACCAACCACTCCCCTGTGACCTGCAGATTCACCAAAGCCCTCTGTGCACCCAGCACTATTTTAGGCACTGAAGACATAACAACAAATAAAAGAGACACAGTCCCTCTGTTGCCACTTTGGGGTCAAAACATGCAGCACAAGTGAGAAGAGGCCTCAGAGAGCCCCCAAGCCAGTTGCGTGGACAGGAGCTCTCTCCAATCCAGGCCTGCGCAGCCTGCAGCCTCTGGTCTCCTTTCCTGTCATAGCGCATTTCCTCCATCCTTAGCTCTAATTCCTAGCAATCTTTGCCTAAATGCTGTCCAAACGATTCTCCTGCTATGGCTATGTACTGACCTTGGCTTCGACCTCTAGAACTAGAGAATTTTCTCTTCTACTGACAGCCCTTCAAATACTGGTCCACATACAGCTTGCTTACCATCCAACTCTGCCCCCTCCTCTTTTCCCACTAAGCGCACAGATCTTCTGCTATCTTTCCCCCGTGCTTGCTTACCTCTCTCAGAGTTCGGCACTTGGGGACTTAGACTTTATTCCTTCTTCATGCCGTTTCTTTCCTTCCTTCCAATGCCAACCTAGCCCAGCTCCAGGCCTTAGCTTCAGCGCTCTGTGCTTGTTTATTGAGCAGCTTTTTGCCATCCTGCACAGATTGGGATTGGGTAAGTGGTAATTGCAAGAATTCCGGGGTTTGTTTTGTTTTGGGCCGAATCTATTATCTCTACAAATTTAGATTATTGCCATGCATAAGTATTTAAGAAGCTAGGTCAGGGAATCCATATATGGTAATTCTTTTGGTTAATAAAATAAAATTTAATAAAATATATCTACCAGAGAACCCTTCTATGGAGAAAGAATAAGCTGAGATGGGTTAAGTAAATGAATGGATAGATGTTTTCTTGTTCATAAATCTTAGAGTCAAATTGTCCATTTTTAGTTCATTCTAACTCGTTTCATATAGATAAGTAAACTGGATTTTGTTCTTTACTGTTTCTATTGATGCATAATGATTATACACCATAGTGGGATTGTTGGGACATATTCAAACATGCATATAATGTAATTTGGTCAGTTTCGCTCCCCAGTACCTCCCAGTGCCCTCCCCTACTGCTTCTCCTGACCCCTTCTACGCTACTGCCCTCCCATCTATTTCCATGAGGTCCCTTTTCCCCGTTTTCTCTCTAGCTTACACAGGAAAGAAAACATGAGACCCTTAACTTTCTTTTTTCTTTTAATATTTCTTTTTGAGTTTTGTGTGGACACAGTATCTTTATTTTATATTTATGTGGTGCTGAGGATTGAACCCAGTGCTTCATGCATGCTAGGCGAGCACTCTACCACTGAGCCCCAACCCCAGCCCCAACCCTTAGCTTTCTGAGTCGGGCTCATTTCATTTAGCATGATGCTCTCCAGTTCCATCCATTTTCCTGCAAATAACTTACTTTAATTCTTTATCACTGAATAAAACTCCATTGTGAATCCTTACCACACTTTCTTTTTCCATTTGTGGCAATACGTAGGCTAGTTCCATAATTAAACTCTTGCAAATTGCATTGCTATAAACCTGGGTGTGCATGTTTTACTATAGTATGCCGAGTTTTGTGCTTTTGGATAAAACTGAGTAGTGGTACAATGGTATAACTGTTTGGTGGTTTCATTCCTAGTCTTTTGAGGAGCTTCATACTGTTTTCCATGTGGTTGGACTAATTCACATTCCCACCAACAGTGTTAAGAGTTCCTTTTTTCTCTGCATCATAACCAAAATTTGTTATTTGTATTTTGTTTGTTTGTTTGTTTTATTCTGGGGATTTTTTTGGTACTTGAGATAGAACACAGGGGTACTTTACCACATCCCCATTCCTTTTAATTTTTTATTTTGAGATACGTTCTCGCTCAGTTGCTGAGTGAGGCTGGCCTTGAACTTGTGTTCCTCCTGCCTCAGCCTCTAGAGTGCCTGGGATTACAGGTGTGTGCCATCTCATCCAGCTTGTTATTGTATTCTTGATGGCTGCCGTTCTGACTGCTGTGAGATGAAATCTCAGTGTAGTTTTGATTTGCATTTCCCTGATTGCTAAAGATGTGAACATTTTTTCACATGCTTGTTTGACATTTGTGCTTCAGTTGAGGAACATCTTTTTCATTCATTTGCCTATTTGTTGATTTGTGTATGTGTGTGTTAAGTTTTTTTAAATTCTTTGTATATTCTAAATATTAATCTTCCACCAGAGGAGCAGCTGACAAATATTTTGCTCCTGTTCTGTACGTTCTCTCTTCACTCTTAATTGTTTCCTTTGGTATACAGAAGCTTTTTAACTTGATGCCATAATGGATAGTTTTTCAAATCAAAGTAGCTAAGTTTCAGTCATAGCTATTGCTAGTTTATTAATATTATAATAAATGTACAACCCCATCACACTGTGCAACATAATTAGCAAGTATTTATACTGTTGAATCCATGACCCAGTTTCTTGAAGACATCTGTTTTCTAAAAGGATTTTTTCTTTCAAACAGAGATTAAAAGGCCCTACTCAAGTAGGGTTGCCAGATAAAATACAAGGCCCTCCCTTTAAACTTCAGTACACAGCAAATGATTTTTAATATGTCTCAGGCATTCCATGAGATATTATTCATTGTGAATCTGAAATCAAATTTAATTGGGCATCTTGCATTTGTCCTTCTTTCTCTTTGTCTTTCTTGACCCCCTCGCCCCCACCATGGCTTAAGCCTTTGTTGTTTTCCCAATCCCCACTCTTCACTACTAACCTCCCTCTTGCCCATGTTCTGCATCATTTATTTATTTTTCTTTCTTTCCTGGATGGGCTCCCTCATGTGACTGTCCAGTTATTCCTATGCCTAATGAATGAACTCACTTATATTCCAAATTATTTTCAGGTTTTTGTCTCCTCTGACAATATGCAGATGTGGCCTTTGTTGCTCTCTGTTGTGGGATTTTAAAAATGTGTATAGGAGAAACTGCCAGGGAGGGGAATCTGCTTGAGCAACCTCTGAACTGATGACTAATGTTCAACAGTTACAAACAGGTGAAACCAGTCTCTCTGTGTAAATGTGCAAGCTGCGGCGTCAATCTGGGTGGAGATCCGGGCCACAATTCCTCGCCACCAGAAAGGGTGCACACGGTGTTGTCTGCAGCCATCTGAAGGCCTGTATGTGCAACATTTTTTTTTCCACCTGATAAAGACTCATTTGTTTTTTTCTATTTTAATACCAGTATGACTCCATTTCCCTTTCACCCCATAAACTCTTGAGAACATCCACAAAGGTCAGAGAATGATCCACAGACTGTCACCTCTGAGGGTTCTGAGTTATCCCGTATAGCAAAAGGAGCCTGAGGAGCCCAGAGCTGACAGACACATTTTCTAGTTGAGACTGGGCCACATCAGTGTCTGCAGCGTAAGGCTTTAGATTGTAAGATAATTATTATTAACATTAGACAATACAAGCTGGTTCAATGTGAAATTATATGCTTTACATCTCTGGAAATAATACACTATGTAATAAGTTGTTACCTATGTTTAACAGAATATTACTAAGAATAGTCTATGAAAGCCAGGTGCGGTGGCACATACCTGTAATCCCAGCTTCTCAGGAGGCTGAGGCAGGAAGATAGTAAGATTGAGGCCATCCTGGGCAATCTAGTGAGACTCTGAATCAAAATAAAATTTTAAAGAGGGCTAGGGCCTGGCTCAGTGGTGCACGTCTGGGATCCCAGCAACTCAGGAGGCTGACACAGGAATATCGCCAAGGTCAAGGCCAGCCTCATAGTTTAGTGAAACCCTCTTTAAAAGGTCAGGGGATGTAGCTTAGTGGTAAAGCATCCCTGGGTTAAATCCCCAGTACAAAAAAAAAAAAAGGAGAGTGGGTATCTGGAAATCTGGGAATGTAACTAAGTGCAGAGTCTTGCCTAGCATGTGTGAGGGCCTGGGTTCAATCCCCAGGACTGAGGGGAAAAAAAATCTCTGAGATTTTTTTTTTTTTAATTCAGTAAATGTACTAAACTGAAAACAAATGGTTTAGTAGAGAACACAAAGATATGTCTGAGTTTCAAAGAACAAGCTCGAGATCCAGTAAACCTTTAGTTCTCAAAATTTCACATACATAAACATCTCAGAAGTATTTCTAAACACCTCGTGGCCCATTCTGGAGCCTGTTTCAGCCGGCTGTGTGTCACTGTGCAGGAGTGCTTGGGCTCAGGATCCAGATCACATGCCACACTGTCCTCCCTATGGAACTCTCTCAGATCTCAGTCTCCTCGTCTGTAAAATGGGGACAATACTGTGGGCTGCAGGGGCTTGTGAGGATCACACGTTGCCCTGCGTAAGGCACCAACCAGGATCCACATTGTTAGCAGTTGCTTTTAAAGCATCGCTGCGGGTGGCTGGGTGCTGGCAGTCATTGCAGTGTGCCCTCCGGCTGGCTGGCAAGGCCGTGCCGTCAGGTCATTTCTCTGTGAGTCTGGGACTGCCAGGAAAGTCAGTCGGAGAATTCTTAACTAACTCACAGATCTAGTCCTTGAGAAAGCGGGTGGCCACATTTCCCCAGGAGCCTGGCAGTGTCCACTCTGCTCTATGAGAAAGTTGGGAATGCTAGGAAGTGTGAGGTCAGCAAGGCGTGTGCCAGGACTGTACACGCCAGCTGAGCACCCTGGACCTCCACCCTGCTCCCTGAGAAACCCAGGTGGTCACAAGAAGTTGGCCCTCTTGGTTGGGGTAACGAGTCCGGCACATATGCAGCACCCACACAGCACCACGGGGGTGTCTGGGTCCGTGACTTACAGACCTCAATGGCCACAGGTCCCCAATCTTCCTTCTTGCTCCTCCTTCCGGACCTCTAAATGCTGGTGGCCCTGGGGTAATGACTTCTCAGTCTACATTGTCCTTCTAGGTGATCTCGCCCAGGCCCTGGACTGTCAGTAAATCCCAAGTTTGTGTTCACGGCCTGAGCTCTGGCTGGGCTACAGACTCCTACCTGGGGGTGTCCAGAGGGTTCTTATCCTTAACATATCCAAAAAGGAACTCTTGTTTCTAGATCCTAAAGCCCCACCCAAATTTGCTTCCTACCAGGAAACAGTACCATCCCCTACCCAGGTCCTTGAACTTGACCTTAGGAGTTGCTCTAGATCCGGCTCTCTCCCCCATGAGCCTTATCACCATCCTTTGAAACCCCTCATCTTTCTGGAACATTCCCACCTCAGGCACATCACTTCCTGTTCCCTTTACCTGGAGCATTCTTCTCTTCTGTTGGTTCATGGCTCATTTCTGCTCAATGTCAATGTTTCCTCCTCAAAGAACCCCCACCTCCCCAGTGAGAAACAGCCTCCACTCTGTGGCCATGCTCCAGCCCTTACCCTGCCTTTTTACTCTTTTATTCTTTTTTATTTTTTCCACCATTCATTTCTCCACCTGAAGTTACACTACTTGTTTCTATACTGTCTGCCTTCTGCACTATAATAGCATCTCTGAGAGGGTAAAGACTTAGTCTCACTGTGATATCCTGAGTTCTAAAATAGTGACTAACTTATAGTAGTGGGTTCTTAGTAAATACTTGTTGCAAGAATGAATGAGTGAACCAATGGTCAAGTGTTAATAATAGAAAGATTTGGGAAACCAGAAGAAAAATATTAGTATACTAAAAAAATGTATTCTATTTGGGCCTTGAAGGATTTGTAGAAGTGAAAAGAATTAAAAAGGCTCAGCAGGTGGGAAAACAGCACAAAGATGACCAGAAGATTTGTATGGCCATGAAAAGAAACTGATCTAATAGACGCAGAGAGCAAATGGCAGATGCAAAAAGAAACTGAGATTGAATAAGCAGGAAAGGGGCAGGTCAGAGCAAATGTGGATGTGTCCCGTTGAGGAGGTCCTTGATGGGGCATGACTCTTTGCAGCAGGTGGTGAGGTGCTGGTGGTTACAATGCATTGATGGGCGCTGGGTGTAATGGAGTCCTCTGCACCAGAGCAGTACCCAGGGAAAGCCTCCGGCATAGATAGAGGGCTGTACGTCAGTCTCCCCTGTAACCTGAGTAGAAGGGCCAGGAAGAATCCCCTTTGCCCTTAGAGATTCTTGTGCCTTTGCCATCACAATAGAATCTGAGAATGGGGCCAACCACGGGGACCTCACATGACTCTATGGTCAGGGAGTTTGTTGCTCTAGAATCCAGTAAGCATTGGTTTTCTCTGGTGGCATGGAAATGGGGCTTCCTGAAAACACATGGGAGAAATTGTTGGGAAAATATCAGGTTTTTAATCACCAAAAAATGATTACAGGAGAACTTCAAATGACTCAACCCCCCACCCCCTGCCTGGTTTTGTTATAGCTGCCTTAAAAACATCATTGCTTAGGAAGTGGAATGTTGGTTATGATCCAAAGTAAAACTTTGTAGCCTTGTTCTAAAGATGCACATGTGACCTTTTGAGAAACCCTACTTATTCCAGATGTTGCAGACTTGTGTCAGTGGTACAGAATTGACTTGCTGTGAGAAAAACCTAGAAATGACCCAGATGAGTACAGCAAAACCCAGAGGACCCACTCATTTTTTTCTATTAAGATCAAGTGACTAATTGGATGGTAAACCTGATTCCACCTCCCCACAAAGATGAGAAAGACGGCTCCTTATGTGGCACCAAGCCACATTTTAAGGAAGGCTTCGGCATTACTGTGTTCTCAAACCTGTAAATGGGCCATTTATTGTATCTGAAAAAAAAATCCATCCACTGTACCTCCTACTGTGTCATATAGCACAGCAGCACCCTGGGTGGTGGGAACACTGAGCTGGGGCCACCCCTCTTTCAGGCTTCAGTGCCTGCCCGCCCCTCAACCACCACTATTTTTTGATGCACTAGAAGGGAGAATTATATCTAGTGGGTGTCACTCACTGGGTACACAACTCTCCCATATTTTCACTCAATGCATCCTCACATTTGAAGAAGATAACGTTACACCCATGTTACACAGAAAAAGTAAACCCCAGAGGACATTTGCCCTAGCTCTTAGAACTCCCATTTCTGGGTTCCAAATTCTTTGCAGTAAGAACAGCTCTGCTTAGTGCACGAGGCCCTGGGTTTGATCTCCAACACTGGGAAGAAGAAGAAAAAAAGAACCCCTCTGTCTGGTTATACAGAGGTGGAACCCTTTGTGATAAAATTGCTATGTAGTTTATATATGGCTCGACCTCACTGCTTCAAGCAAGAACGGAGAAAACCAAAGTCCAGGGCAACAGAAGAAGGCTAGGAAAGGACCAAAGAAACATGATCTCTTCCTCCTCCAGATGGGGCCTTCTTTGTCACTCTGTTCTCAATACCTAGAGTGAAGAGAATCGAGATAGTCTCATTTTGGATCCTGCGTCATAGAATGTGGCCTCGAAGGTCCCTCAGGGTCACTCTGGGCCAACCCCATGCTTCTGGGCCTGTTTACGCCCAAAGTAAGCAAAGAAGGATCTGACCTTCCTCCCAAGGCCTGCAAAGCAATACAGATGGACAGCAAGAACAACAAGGTGGGTTTAGAATGAAGCAAACATGATCTACATTGTTTTCTTCTTCCCTTTTCTAGATTTTTTTTTTTTTAAACAGGGATCTGCTGGTAGGAGAGTTCCTGGATGTTTGTAACAAGCAGATGGCAATGTTCTCTTCTCACATTATAATAGGAACCAGACAGAGAGGGGAAAAGGAGTGATAGGATCAGGATTAGACAAAGAACATCTGGCCAATCAGTCGTCCTCCAGTTCTAACGACTTTTGAAAACAACAAGATTGCAAGAATTATTTAACATCATCATCATAATATTGCTTCTATCAAGGTGTAGGTTGCTAAGAGAGTTCAGCTTCTTTTACTTTTTCAATATATACTTATTCAGTGCCCAGCACAGCAAGCATTGGGCTAATTGCTTGTTCTACAGAGATGAACCAAGCAGTTCTTGCTGGCGACCAGCTCCTAATTAAAACAACTCAAATAATAATGACTACATAGTTGGCTGGAGCAGCAGCTTGCCCAGGATGCCAGGAAAGCCTTGGCTCACGGTCAGAAAGGGGCCCAAGACCAGGTGACCCTAGAATTGTGTTGGGGACAGAGGCACAGCAATTAGACACAGGTGGAGAAGCCAAGCAAGTGTATTCGAGACAGGAGTAAAAGTTATTGACATAGAGAGTGATATTGGCCAAATTATATTGTGTGCATGTGGGCATATGTAACAATTGATCCCATCATTATGTATGACTATAATGCACCAATAAAAAATGAGGGGGGAAAATTATTGACAGAGAGAACACTTGAGCTGTTTGGAACCATAGCTAGTTGGTACCACTATAATCTGGGAGTTTGAGAATTGATGCTGAAGAGGGCAGATCAAATATGATTCCAGCTCTCATGATTAGACCTTTTTCTTGAACCATCACAGGGGTTTCAACCAGGAACAAGAATATGTGAGCATTTTTGGAAGATCACTTGAGAAGCAAATTGATGCCCAGACTTTTAGGGAAAGAGTCAGAAAACAAGCCTGGAGAAAAGTAGACTAGTGGGGAAGGCATGGCAAGAAACTAGGTGAAAAATTATGCAGGACCTCACCAAGGAGTGCTGCTGAGGATGGAGAGGACGCAGATCCACCAACTGAATGGGAAGAATAAGTGGAAAAGGGTAACTCCCAGGCTTCTGGCTTGAATTACCAGATGAATTTTGATGCCACCAACCAACATACAGTGTAGGCAAAGGGGACATTTTGGGGAAGAAGAGGATGTGGGCAGTTGGCACATATTCAGATAGAGATGCCCGGCTGGCCGCTGGGTAGCCATGGCTGGAACTTAGGAACAAGTTACAAGCAGGAGGTGTGAATCAGCACATGGATGATCACTGAAGATGTAGGTTCTACAGATCAATGACGTTCAAGACACTTTTTCTATAACCCACAGAATTACACTTTATATCAAAATCTTGTGTATACACACACACACACACACACACACACACTCACTTTAAAAAGTCACTCAATGATATCATTATTAAATGTTATAGACTCTAATAGATCTCTACTTTATTTCATTTTATAAATCTGGCAAGATACCTTGATTCGATTTCACTAATGGGCTGCAGCCTATAGTTTAAACTGTGTTGTTCTAGACTAAAGGCTTCTTGTGGCAGGACCTCACTTGTGCAATTTAGATTCCCCATAGCATCCATTAAGCTGCCTTATGCATAATGAATTTCTGTGGAAGGAAAGAAGGAGGGAAGGAAGAAGTATGGGAAAGAAGGAAGGAAAGAGGAAAGGAAATTGTTTTCTGGTGCTCAACCTTAATTTTCTCCAAGACTGCAATTAAATCTTGTCTCCTTCAATTCTCTTAAACTTTTTTTTACATAGTTTCTATTTTCACGTACTTCCAGATGAATCAAGCATGAATCATAAGCCCTGGGATGAGATTTTGGTGGTTTGTCTTTTCTCACCATCATAGTCTCAATAGTACCTCCCTAAAATCACCTGTGCTCCAGTCAAAGGCTTTTAAGCTGGTCTGGACTAGACTGGTCATGTTATGCCCTTGAATTACATGGCGACGGTCCCTCCTGTGCCAGTCATCAGGCTCTGTGCCACACAGCCCGACTGGCCCAACCAGAGGAAAATGGCAGAGGACGGCCTGGGGAAACTGGTTGGTAGGAGCAGGCGCAGTTGAAAGAGAAGCAGAGAGAAGTTGAGAAACCCTAAGGCCAAGACTCAAGGAGCACAGCAGCTGGCTTCTGTTTGGTGACAAGCTGGCACCCACGAGGCTGTGACAAGTCTGAATTGCTTTCCATTCCCCTTGGACCTTCCAGGTGCCACAAGGGATAGCTTTTCATAGATTTCTCTTTTTCCCTGAGGGCTGGTCTTTGTAAACAAGTATTTCTCTACTTCCTATGTATTTGTTTAATTTAACTTGTAGAACTTGCAAGGATAACACAAACACCTCATATGCCCTTTACTCAAATTTACCAGTTTTTTACATTTTTTTCTATAGTTTCTTTCTTTCTTTTTTTCCTGAAACTTTTGAGAACAGGATATAGGTAACATACCCCTTGTCCTCTTAATAATTTAATGTGCTTTTCCTTAGACATTTTCTTCTCTAGCCCCAGTACAGGTATCAAATTCAGGAAATTTTACCTTGACAAATGAATTTATATAAAAGTCCACATTTCCACACCACTAGTCACAGTGGCTTTATTCACAATAGCCAAAAGATGGAAACAACCCAAATGTCTATCAAGAGAAAAGTGGATACACAAAATAGGGTACGTACATACAATGGAATGTTAGTCTCCAAAAGGAATGAGATTCTGACACGTTCTATAATATGAATGGACCTGCTAAGCAGAATGAGCCACACACAGAAGAACAACCAGAATGCTGCATGGTGCCACTTAGATGAGGTACTCAGAATGGGCAGATTCCTGGAAATGGAGAGGAGAAGGCTGATAACCAGGGGCCTGGAGGAGGGGTGTGGAGAGTACTGTTTTCCAGATACAGAGTTTCTGTTTTGAAAAATAAACTCATTCTGGAGAGGATAGTAATAGTGGTTTCCCAACATTGTGAACATACTTATTGCCACTAAATTACACCTCTAAAGTAGTTAAATTGGGAAATTATATGATAATTTATATATATATATATATTTTTTTTTTTTTCATGTATCTATACAATTTTTTTGAGGCACTGGGGGTTAAATCCAGGGCCTTGCACATGCTAGGCATGCTCTCCACCACAAAGCCACTTACCCAGTCCTTTTTATTTTGAGATAGGCTCTTGCCAGTTAACCAGGCTATCCTCAAACTTGGCATTCTCCTGCCTCAGCCTCCTGAGTAGCTGGGATTACGGGCATGTGCCACTGTGCCCAGCACCTCCACACCTGGCCGTTGTGTATATTTTAACACATTTTCTAAAAGCCATGGTCCAATTCTGTGTATTGTCCCAATAATGTCTTTTATACCTTTTCAGTCCAGGAGTGTGCCTTTTATATACTGCTTTTATTATTTCTCCCTTGTGTGCCTGGACTTAATTGGTTTGAGTGCTCAGAGTCCTCCATCTTGGGAAACCCTTCAGTTCCAAGCACACAGGGAACTTTTAGTCTCCTTGAATCCAGAACAGCCTTTCTTTGTCTTTCATAACATTGCTGTTCTTCTAAGAAATCAAGTCAGTTATTGCATTAGTGTCCTTCCATTTGACTCTGCCTGCTGTTTTCCCAGATCATGTGTTTCAGGTTGGAATACTACATTAGTGAAGTTGTGTTCTTTTCAGTGTCTCACAGTTGGGGAGGCACAGATGTCCATCTGTCTTGGATGGAACTCAGGGCTTTGCTGATGCCAGAGAAGCTCTCACGGAGCTACACTCCCAGCCCCTTTCCTTTTTATTTTGAGATAAGGTCTTGCTAAATTGCCCAGCTGGCCTCAAACTTGCGATCATCCTGCCTCGGCCTCCCAAGTGCCTGGGGTTACAGGCGTGAGCCACAGTGTCCAACTGGCGATGTTAATTTTGATCGTGGTCAAGGTGTGGTCCAGTTTCGCCATCAGTACTTACTACTTCCTGCCCGTTATGTACTACAGTAAGCTTTTCTTATAGCATATCTGTTCCTTTGCAGCCTTCACGAAAGAGCCCAAGCAGAAGCTCAACGTTTCATAGGGAACACTTGGTAGCATTCTTGTACTTGACAAAAGAAAGCATTTCAGAATCCTTTTCTTTTGTCACTGCAGAGTGTAATAAATCACTTCATTCCTCACCCCTTCCCTCCCCGGCCACTTCAAGTTGATTAGGAGAAAGAACTTTCAAAATACAACTATTCCTATGTAGTCCTTTCTTTAAAAAATTTATCACATTATTGATGAAGAAAGTGTGTCTTTCTGTTTGAATTCTACGTCTCGGCCCTTATTCTCAAAATGAAGATTGTTTGAAAAAGCCCACCATGTGTGGCCCAGAGCTTCACACTTTCTTATTGACATCCCCAACTGCTTTCAGAGCTTGTTGGGTGTTTAGTAACCAGGGAACTCTCCAAACTCACTAGAAATTATTGGAGGTGGAGCTTGGTGGGAAAGAACTAGAAGAAGAGCCAAGGCTTTGGCTATTTGAAGGCCACAGAAGTCTTCAGAAGTGGCACACTGTACACTGCACCCGGTACTAACCCTAGGAAATCACCTGATAATATGCCTCATTATTTATTTCTTGTGTCTACTGTTCATTTTCTACCTCTCTCTGCTGGAATCAAGAAGCCTCATGAAGCCAACAAGCTTTCTTCAGTTCACAGACAATTGGGCCTCCTCCATGTTTCAACCAAGATCTGCTGAGTGAATGAATGTAATTAAGGTAATGAATGCCACTGGCTTGTTTACATACATGATTTTAAAAAGGAAATTTCACATTGTGTGTGTGAGTGTGTGTGTGTGTGGTGTTTTTTTGTTTTGTTGTTGTTTTTTTTTTTTTTGGTTTTTGTTTTGTTTTGTTTTGTTTTCTACCGGGGATGAAACTCAGGGCACTCAGCCACTGAGCCACATCCCCAAACCTTTTTGTATTTTATTTAGAGACAGGGTCTCACTGAGTTGCTCAGCACCTTGCCATTGCTGAGGCTGGTTTTGAACTCGCCATCTTCCTGCCTCAGCCTGGGATTACAGGCGTGCGCCACCACGCCAGGTATTTTATATATATTTCAACACACACATACACACACACACACACACAATTAAAAGCAAAAACAAAAAGCAGTCACCTCTGGGGATGTGGCTCAAGTGGTAGCGCGCTCACCTAGCATGCGTGAGGTACTGGGTTCAATTCTCAACACCATGTAAATGTAAAATAAAGATATTGTGTCCACCTAAAAAATAAATATTAAAAAAAAAAAACCAGCCACCTGACGTGGGCTAGTTCTGGATCGCTAGGTGAGGCAGGGGTTGAGGGAAAGTAGCCCCTTGGTTCTAGTCATCCCCACCCTGATTTTCTCCACGGGACTTTTGCTATGTTATTGCTTACAGAGATTTGAAGACTGGAGTCTAAAATTAATGATGTGATACTTTTGTTTTCCCACAGGGAAGGGCAGGGAAAACTCTAGCTGGCACTTTCTGCCATATTCCTGGTCAATCATCCTTAGTTCTTGGCGCTGTGACAGGGGCCAGCTAGGAACTGTCCACATGGATGTGTGGCGCTCACCACTTCTCTTGTCTCTGTTGGGTCTTCCTCTCTTGTGGAGAGTCTTTTTCTGCCAGAGATGTTGTCACAGAGCACAGAAGCCCAGGCAACAGTACAGGGAAGTGCCCTGAGGGGGTGCCAGCAGCAAGAGGGAGCTGTGTTGGTGTCCACCCTGGGGCGTTTGTGCCTGAGTGTCACAAAACACTTGATGGTGTGCAGACTGCACAGCAGAATGTCAAGCATTGTGGATTCAAGTTGTTTCTCTTTGCCTTTTAAATCAGCTAGTTTGCTCCTTAAATATGCAAAAGAGTTTGTACAATTTGTGACAATGACACAAGTTTAGACACACTATGACTTTTATGAACAGATCCTGACCTGTAAAGTCTCCACCCCCACACTGACTCTCCTCTGAGGCTTGACAGGAAAAGGGACACTTAATGGGGTCTAATTAGCACAAGGCTTCTAAAATATGTACAAGGCAAGGCATATATTGGGTACTCAATTTAAAAATAATATTCTATTGAAGAAAGAGTAACAGAAGAGATTTGGTAAAAGGCAGAATTGAAGAGTACTGTCATTTACAAAGTTTCCACCATCTGTTCAAATCTTGGTTCAGGTAAGGATGTAATAAACAGGCACTGGACACCTACTTTGTAGAATTTTAAGTGTTTTTGTATATTTTATCTCATTTAATTTATACTCATGGCGACACAGGGAGAAAATCACAGAATGGGCTGAGGGTGTAGTTCAGTGGTAGAATGCTTACCAACATATGAGAAGCTCTGGGTTTGACCTCCAGCACAGCAAAAATTAGAGGGAAAAAATCATAGTAGACTCTCTGTGTGTATATATGGGGCTGGGGGTTGAGCCCAAGGTCTCGTGCATGCTAAGCAAGTACTCCAACCCAGCCCACAGTAAACTTTTTGAAGAAAATGACTTGGAACTCAGTTAAGAAATTGGCTCTCTCCCTATACTTTTCAAAAATTATTATTTATTTTATTTCTCTTTGTCTCTTTTCTCTCATTAAATCATAGGAACAGAAAGTTTTTCTTATTTTTATTTTACTACTACTACTTCTAAGACTCAGACACTTGGATTTTTCAGGATTCTAACAAATAGAAAAAATGTGCTTTCGTTGAAAGACTACAAGGTTAGTTCTATGGACTCTAAGCCAATATTTTATAGCTATATTTTATTATAACTTCATTTTAGTTAGAACTTCACTACTGTATTTAGTTTAATTGTATGCTTGGATTATGGGTTGCAATAAAACACTGGGTTTGAACTAAAAATGCCATAGCAATGAGAAGGAAAGTTTCAAAGGAAATCAGGATAGAAACTACTGATTCCATAAAAAGAAGTAAAAGCTATCCAAATTGAAAAAGAAGAAGTTAAATATCTCTGTTTGTGGTGATATGATCTTATGTATGAAAAACCCTAATGACTCAACCAAAAAGCTGTTGGAAATAGTAAATTCAGTAAAATTCAGGATATAAAATTGACACACAAAAATCAGTTCCATTTTTACACACTAAAAATAAACTACCTAAAAAGGAAATTAAGAAAACAATTCTGTGTATGATAGTATCAAAAAGAATAAAATACTTAAGGAACAAACTTAACCAAGGAGGTAAAAGATGTATACACTGGAAACCATACAACATTGATGAAGAGATTGAAAAAGACACAAATAAATGCAAACCTATCCCATGTTCATGGATTGGGGGAATTATCAGTATAAAATTGTCTGCACTACCCAAAATGAATCTACAAATTCAGTGCAATTTCTATCAAAATTCCAATGGTGCTGGGTGTGACATACACATTCAATCCCAGTGGCTTGGGAAGTTGGGGCAGGAGGGTCCCAAGTTTGAGGCCAGCCTTGGCAACTTAGCTAGATCCTGTCTCAAATTTTTAAAAATATTTTTTAAAGGGCTGGAGAATGTAGCTCAGTTGTAGAATGTCCCTCAGTTCAAACACTAGTGCCATGAATAAAATAAAGGTTTCAATAGCATATTTCACAGAAATAGAAAAAATGATGCTAATATTCATATAGAACCACAAAAGACCCTGGATAGCCAAAGCAAATTTGAGTAATAAGAAGAAAGCTGGTGGAATCATACTTCCTAATTTCAAATAATAACAGAAAACAATAGTAATCAAAACAGTATGGTACTGACATAAAAACAGAGTAACAGAAAACCCAGAAATCACTGCATATAATGTCAACTAATCTTTGACAAGGGCACCAAGAATACACCATGAAAAGGAAATCCTCTTCAATAAATAGAGTTGGGAAAACTGGATATTCCAGGCAAGAGAGTGAAATTGGATCCTTATCTTATGTCATACACACACCAAAAAAAATTTACTCAAAATGGATTAAAGACTTTAAAATCTGAAATCATAAAACTTCTTGAAGGACATAGGGGAAAACTCCTGCACATTGGTCTTGGCAATGATTTCTTTCTTTTTTGTTTTTTATGACATTGGAAGCATAATCAATAAAAGCAAAAATAAGCAACTGGGACCACATCAAACCAAAAGGCTTCTGCACAGCAAAGGAAACATCAGCAAAATGGAAAGGCAGCCTACAGAAGGAGATGAAGTATTTGCAAGCCATAATGTGATAAGGGGTTAATATCCAGAACATTTGCAAACCTTACATCCAACAAATTGTTACCATAAGGAACTCAGAACTCAATAGCACAAAAAAACAAACAAACAACAATAAAAAACAAAACAAGTAGCCCAATTTAAACCTGAGCAAAGGGCCTGAATAAACATTTTCCCAAAGGAGACAGAGCAATGCCGATCAAAACCATGAGGTGTCACTTCCCTTTGTTAAAGGCTATAATTTAAAAACAAAAAAAAAAAGATAAATGGTGACAAGTGTTTGTGAGGGTATGAAGAAAAAGGATTCCTTGCACCTGTTGGTAGGAATGTAAATTGGTATAGTCTTTATGGAAAATAGTATGGAGATTCCTAAAAAAAAAATTCAAAATTGAACTACCATATCATCCAGCAATTTCACTTCTGGGTTATGTGACCAAAGGAAATGAAGTCAGTATGTTAGAGACAGCTGCATTTCCATGTTCACTGTGGCACTATTCACAACAGCCAAGATATGAGCCGAGAATAGAACAGCGGCTGCCAGGGAGGGGGGAGGGAGATGTAGGTCAAAGGGAAGACACTTTCAGCTCTAAGATAAAGCAATCTGTCTATCTAATGTACAGCATGATGACTACAGTTAATAACACTGTGGTCCAGACTTGAAATTTGCTGTGAAGCGATCTTAAGTATTCTCACACCACACACGTGTGGACACAAATGATAACATGTGAGATGAGGGATGCGTTAATTAGCTCGATTAAGGCCACCCCTTCACAATGTGTATCATATCAAACCTTCACCTTGTACATCTTAAGTATAAATGATTTTTGGATTTCAATATACCTTAATAAAATTGGAAAATATTAAACCACTTTCCAAGGTAAATAATATGAAACCAGTTTGTAAGAGCTCATTTAAAAAATAAGAAAGGCAGGTATAAGAAAAAAGAAAAACCATCCATAGTCCTACCACCCTTCTTCTTTGCCATCAGGTCTTTACCCAAATATCACTTTGTCGGTGAGTTGAGCAGGACATCTGGCTTAAAACTTTTGCTCACCCTCATTTGCACACATGAACGCCAGACACTCCCTCCCTATCTATGCATCTAGTGTGAACCACTGTCACACTTATTTGTTACTGTCTATATATCTCCACAGGAACTTGAGCTCCACGCGGTCAAGAGCAGTCTGCTGTGTCCTCTCTTGTCATCCCAGAACCTGAACGTTGTCAGCCTTCAATAAATGTTTGTCAGATGAATCTGAACACAAATACCATTGGCATTTAGATATGCTTCTTCTACTTTTATACTGAGTTCTGTTATTTTTTTTTTTAATATAAAGAAAAAGTAGCATCTGTCAGATGCCAGAACTGTGTTAGGGTTTTTACATATTAGATAACAACCCTGAGAGGTATTGTCCTTGATGTACAGGTGAGAAAACCAAAGGCTGGAAGATAGGAAGCCACGTGCCCCGGGGCACACGCTGAGACTGAAATGATGGAATCACAGTGTCTGACTGAAGCCCACGCTATCTCACTGCACCGTTGCTGTCTATGGACTCTGTGGTGTGTTTATTCACTTCCTCGCTTTTCCATTTAGCTTCTCCTCCTGAGCATTCTCTCACGTTAGCACATTTCATTTCCTCCTTTAATGGCAAAAGCTAACGTTGGGAGTGAGGCTACCATTAGAGAGAGCAGTCACATGTGTTGACTGAAGGCCATAAATCTCTCTCCTCTGAGTGCTATAAGCTTTCCCAATGATCACATTTAGTCTAACAGCCGGGCCTTGCCCAGGAGCCTCCGGGCCCAGATTTGTATTAATTGGGATCCTCAGACTCAGCTACTTAAGCTTGTTGTTTTTGGGGACGCAAGATTGGCTCACAGATTTGAAACTGAACAGTTAAGCCTGGAAAAAGACAGGTCCTCTGGGCCCTGGCCACTGGGGCTCTTTAGACATCTCTGCCCTTTGGAACCTCTGCCTGTTGGTGCCTACTCTCAGACTGCCCTCCTCTGTGGGAGGAAATAACAGAGCTGGCTTAGGTGCACATCCTCACAGCTCTCTAACCAGAAGAAAATGGAGGAGGAAGAGATGGAGGAGGAGAAGATGAGGAGGAGAAAGAAGAAGAGAAAAATACTCCTTCTCCAGCTCAAGTTTGGAAATTACTGGCAAAAGACCCGGATTGGCCTGGCTGGAAGCTTGAATCTTCCCAGGACCCAGCAATGGGCCCAGGAGAATGGAGAACAGTGCTTGACTCAGCTTGGGCCATGTCCCTTTCCTGTGAAGTATGTCTTGATGAGTAGTCCCACATAGTTTTGAGGAGTTTGTGCCAGAAAAACTTCAGTTTTGTTTTGTCTTATTTGTGTATCAGGGATTGAACCCAGGGACACTTAACCACTGAGCCACACCCAGCCCTTTCTATATTTTTATGTAGAGATAGGGGCTTGCTAAATTGCTTAGGGCCTCACTAAGTTGCTGAGGCTGGCCTTGAACTTCTGATCCTCCTGCCTCAGCCTCTGGAGCTGCTGGGGTTAAAGGCATACCCCTCTGCACCCAGAATGGAAAATTTCAATTCTAATCAGACAAAATGTCAAATGGTCCACCCTAGGACCAGATCAAACCCGGCCTCATTCCTAGACCACTGCAGGGCAGTGGTTCATTATGAACAAGGACACATAGAGCACCTACCCTGGGTGCTGGAGACACCCATTGATTCCTTCAGTTGGCCAACAAATTTTATTCAAAGCCTCACCTCCCTCCATCCGTCAGCTAGCCTCATCCGGCCATGCTAAGGGCAGGGAGCCCAACAGTGTGGAAGACAGATGAGGCATCTGCCCTCTCAGAACTTCACCACGGGGTACACAGACGTAGATGAATGAAAAAAACCACATGTTGTAAAAGGAAATGAAGAAGGTGCCATATTAGAATAATGGAGTGGGCATAGGGACATGTCTGCTTAGCATGGTGAAGGCCCGGCTCTCTGAGGAGCTGCTAATAGCAAAGCTACCCAAGTGCTGTGTTCTCAGTAGGGATCCCTCACAGGCCCTGGCACAAAGGCTGAGCGCATGAAGATTTGCTCAGAAAGGGAAGCAGGAAGGAAAGTAAAAGGAAATATCTAGCTTCGTGTAAAAATACAGGAATTTTATTTATTTTGGAAAATTGAGACTCATTGGTTAAAGTGTACAGTGGTCCACCTTATGCTTTGAATATACCTTGCTGCTCTGCCACTGCAACTAATTGTTTTTAAATGGACAAGTTTCTCTCCCTCTCTCCCTACTTCTCCCTGATCTCTTCCCTCCCTAATCTCAGAGGAAACAAAATTACCTTTCTTTTCCATGTTAGGTAGATTCATTCATCTGTCCTTGAGTACACACCCACCATAGGAAAAAAGTAATCCAGACTTTGGGGATGGTACCAGAAGATCTCAGAAATGACTATCTCCCAAATTTATAAGTGAATTACGACTCCCAACAGAGAAGGTAGCCTTTGAGCCTTATGGGCAGAATCATAGCCTTTAGGACAGGAGTCCCCTGTGTTTCTCCTTCGCTAGCAAAGCAATAAACCTTCTTTTTCCTTTTTCTCAAACCGGTATCCTCGTTATTGGATTGGCATCAGGGACAAGGACCGAGATTTTGGAAACAAATTGAGGTTCAACTTCCCTATGGGTTTTGGAAAAAGCACATCACTTAGCAGTCATTTAAAAAAAAAATGCATGACCATAGGGCCTGCAAAGTTCACAAGGCTTCAAGACACATTTCAAAACCAGCCTCAGAAATAACAATCAAGTGTGTCATTGTTATACAACTCATCCAAAAACAAAAGGGGAACATAAGGCTGTTTTACAGTCCACATATCTAAGCATCAGAGAATTTCAAGGCTCCTCTGTAAATCCTAAATAGTCATGCTTATTTCTTTACAACAATCTCCCCTGGATAAATTTATTTTTATGAGCAATAAATACTTCAAGAAAACAAAAAGCATCTATTTCAAGATCACTTTGCACAGATGAAGGAATCATGAGCATGCGGTCTGTCCACACACACAAACACATTTAAGTGCATCAAGGCAGGGCCCTGTGGAAAGGGCGAAGGTTTGGTGGACAGAGCAAGGTTCCAATTCTGTTTTTTTGTTTTGTTTTGTTTTGCTTTGTTACCTGGCACTGGGGATTGAACCCAGGGGCACTTTATCCCTGAGCCACATCCCCAGTCGTTTTTATTTTTTATTTTGAGACAAGGTCTCACTGAGTTGCTTAGGGCCTCTCTGAGTCTGCTCTTGAATTTGTGATCCTCCTGCCTCGGGCTCCTGGGCTGCAGGGACTACAGGTGTGCGCCACCACACCTGGCCTTCGTTTTGAATTTAAGGGACTTTTCATAGACCTTTTTAGTTTATGAAAAAACAAATTAAGATTATCATTGTTGCTGTTTGTGATTCTGATCGCAATAGAAACATTACCTGACAGCAACTATTTCATTGACATATCAAAAGTAAATTCAAGCCGGTATCACTATGAAATCATTTGAGGTTAGATCAGGACAGGGGTTAAATTTAATCATTCATGTGTAAACAGAAGATGATATTCAGTCCAAACAGGCTTTCCCCAGGTCAGCAGAACCCGGAGTGCTGTGGCCTCCTCGTGTTTGCTCAGTCCTACATCCACGTTCTGGATCAAGGTAGCTGCTGGCTGGACCGACTTTCACTTCCACTCATCTAGATTCCATCCTTCCTGTTTGCCTAGTTACTCTTCCACCATCATCTGGTTTTAAGGAAAAGGGACTTTACAGTTCTTTTCTTCTAATAACAAACAGCATTCACTCTTGAATATCTTAAATTCTTCTCACCCTTTTAAATATCTCCCAAGTTCCCCCCTTTAATCCCTCTGCTTTAAACACGGAGTGCTGGAATCTTACAGTTACTTAATCTATGTCCCATTACAAGAGAAATTCTTTTGACGATACCCTGCTTGAAGAGATGGGGCATCAATTCTTTAAGATAGAGCCTGTGGGTAGCTGTTTTCCTATTTTCATTAACTCGTTCATAAGGTCTTCCCTGCAAAGTAGAGATGGAAGAAGGTGCAAAACAGGGAAGGAGAGAGGGATATTTTTGTATTTTATACCCTTCTGTTATGGCTATAGTTTCCCCCATCCCTTGTGGATGAATTAGTTAAATTTAATCAAAATCTGCCACTGTGTGAGCTTCAACCAACAGTATTAGAATTACACAGAATAGATCTAATGCCTCCTCCAAATGACATTTTCAGATCTTCAAAGACAAGTACTTTGTCCTTTTTATGACTGTTGTTCTTCAAGCTAAGGATCCTTATTTATTTGCTGTGATGGGACTCTAACCCAGGGCATTAGGTAAGCTAGGGAAGCACCTTACCACTGAGCTACATCACCAGCCTAGGACCCCTATTTTTTTTCTTTTTAAAAAATTTTATTTATTTTTTATATATGACAGTGGAATGCATTACAATTCATATTACACATATAGAGCACAATTTTTCATATCTCTGGTTGTATACAAAATATATTCACACCAATTTGTGTCTTCATACATGTACTTTGATAATGATGCCCATCACATTCCACCATTCTTGCTAACCCCCTGCCCCCTCCTTTTCCCTCCCACCCCTCTGCCCTATCTAGAGTTCATCTATTCCTCCCATGCTCCCTCTCCCTACCCAACTATGAATCAGCCTCTTTATATCAGAGAAAACATTTAGCATTTGGTTTTTTGGGATTAGCTAACTTCACTTAGCAGTATCTTCTCTAACTCCATCCAAATTTACCTGCAAATGCCATGATTTTATTCTCTTTTATTGCTGAGTAATATTCCATTGTGTATATATGCCACATTTTTTTTATCCATTCATCTACTAAAGGGCATCTAGGTTGGTTCCAGAGTTTATCTATTGTGAATTGTGCTGCTATAAACATTGATGTGGCTGTGTCCCTGTAGTATGCTGTTTTTAAGTCTTTTGGGTATAGACCAAGGAGAGGGATAGCTGGGTAAAATGTGGTTCCATTCCAAGTTTTCCAAGGAATCTCCATACTGCTTTCCATAATGGCTGCACCAATTTGCAGTCCCACCAGCTATGTATGAGTGTGCCTTTTCCCCCACATCCTGGCCAACACTTATTGTTGTTTGTATTCATAATAGCTGCCATTCTGACTGGAGTGAGATGAGATCTTAGAGTAGTTTTGATTTGCATTTCTCTAATTGCTAGAGATGATGAACA